ACTGGGGCTGCGCGGGGTGCCTCCCCGCCCGCCGCCCACTCCACAAGGTCAGTGCCAGGAACCCGGGGCCTCGGCCTAGGACCGCAGGTCGGATGGGCGGGGAGACCACTCACCTTGTCCCGCAGTACGTCCCCGTGGGGGGCTTCGGGTGCCTGGCTGTCCATGCGATCCTGGGCCCGGCGTCGCGAGGTTGTGGGTCCCGCGGACAGGAAGGCCCCTGGGCTTTTGTGTGGATCTGGCCCGACGGAGCAGGGGGCGGAGCGAGGTCTGGTGTGGACCGGACCTGGAGCCGCCAGTCCTGTTCGGCTGGGTTCTCACCGTCGCAGGTGGGTAGGGAGAAGGGCTCTGTGATTGGAAAATGTCCTTGTTTGCTCTTGTTACGGCGACACGGTGGCACCAAGCGAAACTGACCCTCTCTTGGTCGCTTCGCGCAGTTCAGTGAGCCGCGCACACCCACAGGCCGGGCAGAGGGCGCCCGCGTCCAGAGCTTCCTCCTCTGACTAAACTGCCCTGGTATTGGCAGACTCCCGTCCTGCCCTCCCAGCCGCCCTTCTACCTGTCTGGGTAGAGTGTTTTTCTAAAGTATGTGTCACTCCTTAATGAGGTTCCTGGAAAGCTCCACCCAGCAGCCCCACACAGTCTAAATATCCAAGTGGCATTGGATCTTCAAGTCAGTCACCTCCGGAATCGCTGACATTTCTGGGATGCCAGCTCTAGAATTAAGAATGGTTATATGTAACCGTTTCCCAGTGCGCTACCAACATGCACATCTCTAATTCTGGTTTCACGGAACATTTGGAAGCAAGCTCTCGTGCTACTCCTTTCATACCAGAGTTGTGGCTGGTGGATCACCTATGGTTCATCTCCCAGGACCACCCTCAGGGCTTGTTACGTGTCTGAAGCTGGAGAGGGAACAGAACTATGTTTATCTGGGTTACTCCTGTGTCCCCAGGCCTTTGTCCAGTGACAACCAAGATTCCCAGGGTTCTTAATCTGTGCTTAAATAAAACATGACCACACGAAGATGCCCGACATCATTTGTCAGCAGGAAACCACGATGAGATCTTCTGTCACACCCACTGTGGAGTCTGGAATAAGCGGGAGGGATGTGGAAACTGCAGCCCCTCATATGCAGCTGATGGGAATGTGAAGCAATGTGCCACCAATATGGAAAACAGTCTGGTGGGTCCTTACAGGTAAACAGAATTACTACACGACCCAACCACTGTGGTCCTGAGTATATACGCAAGAAAAATGACACAGAAATTCATACACCAGTTTTATAGCATTCTTACCAACAGTAGTCTGAAAGTGAAACAACTGAGATGTTCGTCAACTGATGAATGAATAACAAATGTGGTATGTCTAGAGCCAGGAATTTAGCTCAGTGGTTATGCCGCAAGCACAAGGACCCGAGTTCGATCCCCAGTACCCGCCCCCCGAAAAAATGTAGTATATCTATTTGACGGAGTACTACTCAACCATAATAATGGAAGCCTGATACATGCTACAACATGAATGGACATTAAAAACATTATATCACAGTGATATATGCGCACCAATGTTTATAGCGGCACAGTTTGTAATAGCTAAAACTTGAAAACAGCCCATTTGCCCATCAGTTGGAAACTGGATAAAGAAGATGTGGTTTTTCTATACAATGGAATACCACTCAGCCATAAAGAATGAGAAATTAGATTCATTCATAGGAAAATGGATATATATTGAGGATATACTCCTAAGTGAAATAAATAAGTCACACATGTGTGAATACTGAATAGTTTCTCTGGTGTGAAAAACTATAATAGTACACAAGATCCTAATGAGATAATTGACCTTGTGAAATAGGAAGAAAAGGGCTAAAGGTGTAGGGAAAGTGGGAAGGGTAGGGGAAAGGTAATAAGGGAAAAGAAAAAAATACGACAAAATGAAAAATGGAAATAAAGTGTTTGTAAATGGGGACAGGAGGAGGGACTGAAGGGAGGGTATGGACAAGGGGAAAAAAATGAGAACCAAGACCTGTCATGTAAAGGTACAAGATCCCAATAATGAATGTAACTGTACTGTATACCTAAAATGTATCAATAAAAGAAAAAAAAACTAAAAAAAAAAAATTATACCAGTGAAAATTTAAGGGAAAGAAGCCAGTCACAAAAGGCCAACTACTAAATGATGTCAGATATATAAAATATCCTGACAGGCAAATCCCAGGAAACAGAAAGTAGAATTAGTGGGTGACTGGAGTATATGGTGGAAAAATGCAGAGAGACTGCTTAATAGTTAAGAAGTTACTTCTGGGAGGACAAAAATCTTCTAACAGGTTGTGGTGTTGGCTGTCTACACAACCCTGTGAATATATTAAAAAGCACTGAATTGTGTTATTTATTTATTTTGGTTTCCTGAGACAGGGTCTTGCTATATAATTCAGGCTGACCTTGAACTCACAAGCCTCCTGAGTGCTAGGATTACAGGCATGCACTACTGTGCCTGGCTATGAACTGTGTACTTTAAATGAGTAAACTGGATATCTTAGTGAGGCTATTAAAATTATGACTTTTTAAAGTAACAGCATGGTTATTTTGTCATTTTGTGTCTTTTTTTACTTCTTTTTTTTTCTCGAAGAAGACCTGCAGTGGAAACACTGAGTTCTAGAGGCTACATGGGAATTATGAAAGCTGGCCAAGAGGTACATTGGCCCGACATAGGGCCCCAGGCCCTCCTCACAGTGGACTGGGATGAGGGATTCTATAAAGATATCTGGTTTCTCTGGTTTCTCTTTGAAGGTGGCTGTGAGGAGGAGGGAGAGGTAATAGGAAAACAAGTTAACAGCCACCCACAGAAGACACTGGACAGTGAGAGACAGGGAGTCCAAGCCTGTGCTGTTGTTCTTAGAAATATACTTCAAAACATCACTTTTGTCCCTGCAGTGATTCTATGGTCTTTGGGCATGTAAGCCCTCACCTCAGGCAGGCTGCTCAGCTAGATAGCATAGGAGCCCCAGCTCTGGAGGAACCCATAGAGAAGAGCTATTAGTAATTTTTAAATGAGAGAACTGAGATTATTCCACCAATAGAATTAGAGGCTTTAGAGAAACAAAGAAAGTTGTGAAAAACATCCAGTAACATATAGTTATATTCTTGTTATTTATGAATCAACAGAGGAATGGGAGGGAAATTCCTCCCGAGTCTTTTTTTTTTTTTTTTTTTTTTT